ATCTTATAAGATTTTTAATAAATAAATGGATTAATTTAAAAACTTTTAACCAAAATAATAAATAAAAGCAATAAATAAGTAAATATATATGGTATTTACATAAGTGCAGTGTAAAAAATCCCTAGGTAATTTCCATTTATCTTACCTCAAGATAAATGGAATGGCCTCAAGATAAATGGCCTTAATATACAGTGGTGCTCAGCTTATTTCATTCAACAATGTTTTAAATTTTTAAAATACTGTATCTTCAAAATGAATTTGAAAATAATGAAGTTTTTAATGTAAGTGAGAAAAAGCACACTTATTGAACATAATAAATAAAACCAAGTACATAAAATTTGTTTTTGTTTCGCTCGAAGGGGAAAATCTTGATCGCGTAACAGAATAATAGTTATTTCATCCAAATTATCGTGCAAATGATGATACTATATTCCCACTACATACTTAGTAAGTCATATAGTAACATTGAACTTTTTGCGTGTACATTATCACAAATTACTTAAGAAATGGAATAAAGCTTGTATGTGCCAAAAAATTCTAGTTTTAGAGCTTATCGTTGTTTACATTTTAATTGTAATCAGATGTCATCAAATTTTGTATTAGAAGAATAATAAATCAGCATGGAAAATGAAGAAAATTTAAATAATTTAATATATAATGTTTGTGATATTGTTCACAATATGAATGCAGTCGCTACATATAAAAAAAAAAGGAATGATTTATAAAAAATTACAAATTATTTAGAAACAACAAATAACAATGCTTTCTTCAACGATTACTTGAAACCAAAAGAAGTGCTGGAATTTGGTAAGTACTGGCAGAAAATATTATTAAATAAAAAGTAAAATTTAAATGGATTGCAAATTTAGAAAAGAACGAAGAAGTTTTGGGAACAAGATTGCAAAAAAAATGCTACTGGTTTCTTAAGGAAATTTGACATTAAGCAGCGAAAGGGTAAAAGAGTGCATTATCGGATTATAAGTCGGGTAATAGAAGTAATTGATTTTATTGAATAATATAAGAAATTTGTTTTATTTTGCCATTTTAAAAACTTTTTTATGATACTTATATCGGAAAATATATTGCTATACTTAAATATACGTTAAAGTAATCGATTTTAATATGATTACAATAACTTATATTTACAAATAAAAAATTAAAGTTCATAACTAAAAAATTATTGTTCACTGTTTACTAATTGAAACCATTGTCACATAGCCTCACTTAGCTCGGTTAGAAGCTGATTCAAAAATCTCGCACTATACCGTAATATGGAAAAGGAAAATCGTCTATACACGATATTAATATTGTCACTTTTATCTGGTAGGATTTCCATAGTCTGGACATCCAATATAGAATGCTGATAGGAATTTGTCCGATTTTACTTTGTTTTCACGATTATCTATTATTATTATACAGGCAAAAAATGTTCTTTGTAATCGTACCAGTTTTGCGCTGGTAACTGCGTCTTGGCCAGATTTTATCTTTACAATTTGAGTCGTATACATTTAGTTGACTCTAAAATTTATAAAATAATATATGTGAGCCACTAAATCTCTGGTATTTTGTGCTATTCAATCTTCGTGTTGTAGTATTGCCTACAAAAATAAATATTTATATTGTATTTAAAAAAATATATATATAAAAATTCTTACCTCTTGTTTGTTGTGATTTATTGATTGTTTATTTATGTTTACATTATGTTTCATGTGTCAAATATGTTAAATATCGATAGTTTCCAATGTTGCATTCGTCATATTTGGTATAATCTTGGTCGAATTTTGTTTACTATATTTTATAGTAAATGAAAAAGCACGGAAGCTCTTTGTATGGCTAATTCAATTTACTCAGTAAATGAAGCTTACTAAGTACGTAGTGGAAACGTACTATTAATTAAATAAAAGTAAATCCATTTTTATAATTTCAAAAACTATTTTTTTATACAATAAGTTTATTCGTTTACATACAAGTTTAATCAATACATACAATTAAAGAACAATTTTTATTAGAATATATATTAATATTTGTATTCATTTTTTCTGAAAGTGTCACTAAAGAAGTATTTATTAAATCTGGCATCCTTTGTTTTAATGTTTCTTCACGAGTGCCACCATTTTTGGCGCCACAACTTTTGGGGAATATCAGTCGTATTTGGTTCGTGAATCTTAACGCGTTAGTTTCGTTCTGAATTTGATGCGTGTGGCGTAAGAATCGACGCGAAAGTTGTGTAATTATAAAAATTTGTTTTTAAAATAAAGTAGGTTTTATTAACATAATCATAAAAAACGTGAGTAAATGTGTTTTTATAAAAAAACATCGAATTATGTATCTACAATAATTTTTGTAATTTTATTGTTTTTTCTCATTGTTGCTGTGTAAATAATAAAAGCTTTTTACTTTTTTTTTGACCGTTCGACAATTCGAACGGTACTGTTTGTTTTTATTTAGACAGTGAAATCTTCTGTATTATTTTTATTTGTTTAAAATTTATTTGTTTAAAACGTGAAGTTAGTAAACAAGTTCAGCTTGTGAAGAAACTTGTATATTTCTTTATGCGAATTGGAAACACAAACTATCTATTTTACTTGGGCTATACTTGCCTAAATTTCTTATATATATGTTCAATTTGTTTTTATGTAGCGGCAGGTAAATTTGAATGACCACCAATCAAAAGTAAGAATTTTCTGTTTGTGAATTCAATGCATGGCAAGCAAAGTCCTGTGTGCACACATACATACCCACTCAAGGAACCCAGCAGCGCCTGCGACTAATTCTGAACTAGTGAATTCACTAGTTCCCAGGTGTATAGTACGTGTCGCTTCATAATCTACTTTATGTGCGCTCAACTAGTGAAATTTACATTGAATTGTCATTGCTGGTGTCAATTGTCCCCATACGAAACACCTCGGAACTAGTCTGTTCACTAGTTCATAAGGGTCAATTGTCCCCTTATCATACACTGCTGCGGCACTAGTCTCTGCACTAGTTCTTGCTTTGGAACAAAATAAATAAAACTAGCATTTTATATATTATTATATATTTATTAATTTTAATATATTTAATATATATATATACATATATTTTTTTAGATATTAATGTAACAATTGATAGAAAATAGAAATAGCAAATTAATTAATAATATAATAGAAACATAGTACATAGGTCGTGTGCGAGTTAGGCTAAGTTGCGTTCTAAATGAGGGAAATTCTAAGTTGTGCCGATAATATAGTGATGTGTCGATACGTGTTGATAAATGGCTAAATGTGTGCAGTGCAAAAAATCCCAAAAAATCTCCCATTTGGTTTAGCATCAACATAGCCTAACTCGCACACGTCCATAATAATTTAATAGAAATTAATAGTAATAGGAAATGATAATTTAATATAATTAAAAATAAATAATTCAGTAATTCAACTATATAAATAATTTAATAATTTCATAACTTATAATAATACATTTGAAAAATTTAAAAGTTAAAGTAATAATAACAATGCTAAAAGTAAAAAGTAAAAAATAAAGTAAAATGATATAAATAAAAATATATTCATTTTAATAATATTAATATTAAAAGTTTAAGTAATATTAAGTGTTATATTTGAGGATTACTAAGGGGATTGCGCTGTAGTATTGAAGCTGCTTTAAAGTGCCTTTTCTTTTGAAGCTGTATGGCCTTTCTTAGCTGGTCTTCACAACTAGCCGATCCTGTACTGTTTGATATAGCAAATGATAATTTAGCCATATAATTAGATATTTTTCTAATTGAACTTAAAAGCACAGAATATAAATTATCATAATCCTTAAGTTGTTTTTTCCCGTGGGTGCCATCCACATTGTACTCTAGAACGACCGATTCATCCAATATATTTTTCAAATTCTTCTCTACAGAAGAATTCAATAATATAGAAATTGTTGACACCTGTTTATTTAAATAAATATTTAGTGTGTTTAAGAATACTACTCGTATGTAGTACAAACAAACAAAATAACACTCGCATATTGATCCCTTACTTCAACACTTCACTGCTACCCGTTATTTCAGAATGCACAAAATTAGATTAGGTTCTAATTTTACTACTTCCTAAAGAGCAAATGTTGTTGCATGTTTTTACATTTTAGCGCATTATTGCGAAGTAGGCATAATATTAAAACATATTGCTCTCAATTTGTGTGTACACAACAAGCACAAGCAGTGGATTTTCGTTTCAACTGGTGAATCGATGCATTATCAGGGGTCAGAATACGCACTAGTTCCAAAAGAAATAACTCTAATATGTGATTGAATTTCTTTGTTTCTGATCTGTTTTGGTTTTCTCTTGTTCAAAAATAATAGAATGCAATATCAAATTTTGTTCAAAAAAAGTATTGAGAAATTTATATGTTGTAAGTGGCGATTTAACTCATCCCCACGTAACAGTCATTTCACTAGTTCGTTTGGACTACTTCGTGTACTAGTGCCTAGCGACAATTGTCTCCTAAGAAACTGCTGAGAAGTGATTCACCACAAAACGGTATATTTTCGTCTTGCTCTGCATACTTAATACGCATTGCTTCTATTTTGCATTTATTATGTTATGTGCCTCGCACTTATCCGTAATGATTGTCGATAAGAATGGTGAAAAGTATAATTTTAGTTACAATTCCTATAGAAATAACTTCTATGTAAACAGTTTTGAACATTTTCTGGGTCTTCCTTTTAGTTTTCCATTAGTGATAATTGTATATCTAACTTTTTAATTTATTATAATAATAATATGTTACTAAATTACGTAAGAAAATTATTTTTAATAACATTTCTTTTAGTAAACTCATAAATAAATCAGTTCATAAATTTGTGTCATATTTGATGAAAGTATAAAAAAAATTTTTATGAATACAGATTTAATATAATAGTAATTAAAATTTTTAATTACATGTCAGATATATTAAAAGTCTCCACTTTTGTTTAATAAATCTGGCATCCTTTGTTTTAGAATTTCTACAACGAATGGTAGAATATTTGCTCCACAGCATTCGCAAAATCTCAATCGTGTTTGGTTCGGCAAATTGGGTGGTTGTGTTTTCTTTTCAATGCTGATGTGGACTTTTAATTGTTTTTTAAACAAAGTGAAGACACAAGAAAGTAAGTGAAGTCTGTTTTGAAAGATAAATCTGATTACATATATTTGTAGGAAATAAATATTACTAAAAATGAATAATTAACAAGTAAATATAAATATGTTTTGAACTGAATAAATGATTTTCTATTTAAATTAAAAATAACTAAATATTTGCTTCGTATTTCTTTACCTAAATTGAAAACACATGCACTATCATATTTTATATAAGTTGTACTTGATTTAATTTCCATTTTTATTAGTTTTTCATTTTTTTCTTTTCCTCTGTTTATTAACCATTAATTTTGAATGTGAACCAATCAGAAATTAGAATTTACTGTATGGAAATTTAATGCGTAGTACCCAAATGGCTGCTTGTACACATACACACTCAAATTCATGACGCCTCACAAAACGGTATATTTTTGTCTTGCTCTACATACTCTATATGCATTGCTTCTACCTTGAATTTATTGTGTTATATGCCTCACACTTATCCGTAATTATAGTAAAATTTTTCAACATCAATTCCAAATAAATTAAATGTTTTCAGTGTGTTTGATTTTATATATGTATATTTTTAAATTAATATTTATTTTAACAATATGTGCATGTTTTTATGGGAAATGAATATACAGTATATGTAAATTGTAAACGTCTCTTCTCTAATATTTTATTTATTTATTTTTGTTTTAAATATTGACATTTCGTTGCAAGTTTGAAGGTAATAAAACGAAGCAAATAAATGAGAAGCGATTGAAATAATTGTCTTACAGAGAAAAAATTTAAATGAACTACCCAATTATTCTTATAATAAAATTAATATGATATTTTTCTATTTAAATTATTTCAGTTTAAATATGCTTAGAATTTTCCAAATCTGATATAGTAAAAAAATGTTTGAAATCGGCGCTTGAGATGCGTGAACATAAGTACCAGTATTGCCACTAGATTACAACATATACTATACATTATGTGGGTCAAACAATCTCCAGATTCTCATCACCACCCAATCGATTCCAGTAGTACACAATCCAAATTAATTACTGTGACCAGAGATTGAACGGGTAAATAGTACTTTTTTATAAAATAATTTTAAATATAGTATTTAATTTCAATTTCATTCTTAGACTTTAAGCGAAAATTTTTATTGTTGTTAATAATGGCTTTAGACGTAATATATAAAGATAAAAGTGTTACCTTCTATAGCACATCTTCACTATGTTGATTTACATCCATAAATAACAAAAACTATTTATTTTCATCACCGATTTCTTCTTCAAAACGCAAATCGTGGTTAATTAATTAATCACCAATGGAGGCTTTTTAATTAGTCAGATGAAATGAACAAATCCGGTGATGAATGCGAGATAATTACATTAGGTTCCAGAGGAGCTAATACTAAAAAATTTTTGCGATTTGGTCTGGTCAAAGGTACGTTAAAAATATAATATATCATATATATTTGTAACTGCCATTGCCTTTGTTATAAATTATTCATTAAATGCTTAAGTAAATAATAGGTCATGGTGCGAGAACCTAAGTATTCATATCTGCCAAAAACTGTACTGTACTATTTCTATTGTAAAATACTAAGCTGTTCATCAAGTTCCGTGAACAAAAATATAAAAATAGATATATGGTTGTACAAATGAATTTTTTTCAATATAATTTCTCTCAATTTCAATATACTTAATTTACTGATCGTTCAATTTACTGGTATTTTCTCTGTAAGTCCGGTAAATCCGGTTAATGGATAGTTCTCTACGATAGTTGTAACTCCGTTTAATATAAAACCGTTTTCAGTAGTATATTTTTTTTAGGAATGAAAGGAGTCAGAAGTCGGGAGGGCAGAATGTGGCAATCAGGCTGACTGATTTTATTTATACCAGTAGTGGTCGTTTCGCTAATATAAAAATAGAGGTTACACATTCTTGGTCGATTCTTGTCCTCAAAGGGCCGGTTTCTCGTCACTCCTTAACCTTTGCTGTTGTCTTGATTTAAGTACATGGTGGTAAATACAAATCTTGTCTCTGTGGATGAAACGACATATAAAATTCGATTTATCTTTTATAAGAACCTTCAGTCTTTTCTGAAAACGTCGCTTTAGAATTTATTTTCATTTTATTGCACACATAGCTCTTCACACATATTGGTCACTATTTCTAATAAAATGTCTATGTCTTCTTGTAAATCACATCAAAATCTTTGTAATACAATTTCTCTGATGTAGAAACACTGCTTGGATGTCCTTAACGTGAATCGTCTAAATGCAACTTTCAAAGTGTGTCTGATATAACATTTCATAATTGAAAGATAACGTCCCTCAGAAAATATGATGCAGCAACTACACCTTTTTTGGTTTTCATGTGGGAAAATAGTTTCTTGGTCCATTTTCCTGGCATTCTGGCTACCCTCTTGGATGCAAATTTCAGTTTGATAATGACGAATATATCATGTTTCGCAAACTTATTAAACAACCCTGTACACAGCTTCCTTATTAAGATATAATATGAAGTAGTATTATGAATATAGTTTAAAATTCGTTTGTCAATATATTTTTATTGAATTATTGAAATTTGTTTAAGTTTAATTTGTTTGTTTAAAAGAAAAATATTTTTTTCTTGTGAAGCAGTGTAATTATTATCATTTAACTATATGTTAACAATTTAGAGTATATATAGTATATTTTATTAAAATTATTGCCGAGAAGATTTACTAATATGAATAAACTTGTTCCAACAGAGTTACACAAAAAATGTATGTCGTGAATTCATCGAAATAAATGAAATCATAAATGCGTATACTGAAGTGACAGTTCGACCAAATTTCCTCTTGAGATGTTTCAATCTTTCAGCATAAGATAACACGTAAGATGGTTACTTCATCAGACAAATGCGTAAAGCTTCCATATTGAATCTCCAACAGACGAATAACAAAATAATACTGGAGATGAGCAAATATTTTCAATATTATGAATAATACATTTGGTGAACCGATATCCTGGATTGAAAGTATATTTCATAACAGTTTGGACTGAATGTGAGCAGAAGTTAGGAAGTTTTGGTTATATAAATAGTAAGTATATTATTTTCATTATAATATAAGATAATGAATTTGAAAATGATTGTGAAGGTGGATTTGGATTATAAAGACAGTTTGCAAACGGTAAAATAAGTAATCTAGTACGTTAGAGTTACAAATTAATTATTAAATTGGTTAGAATACGACGTTACGGCGTTCGCCAAAATTTACTCAGGTTTAAGATCGTTTCAGACCTTTGTTAAAATCTAAATACTTTCGGAAGAGTTGTTAGTGCTTACTGACTTATTGATATTTGGACTTCAGAATATTCAATGACATATTGTTTTTATTTTAAATTTGTTTTCTAAAAAAGTTATCAAAAACTCCTTATTTTAGGTTATGTTTAAGGATGAAGCTTCACAGGGTTTTAAACATTCTGCTCTCCTAGTAATTATGCTCTTTTATTTACAGATGGTTTTTATGGACGTATATTCCTTATTTAAAAGGAAATTAAACTTTAAATTTGTTTATCGACCTGTGTTCTATAATGATTTTATTATTGATTCATTAGCTGGCCACTTTTATAGGTCACTTTTATTTCAATAAAAATTAAAAAATCTAGTTGTCTATTGTCCATATTGCACTGAACAATATCTAACTAAAATGGAATGTGATATTAATTAATTTTTATTTTTTATTAGACCTGCTTCTGATGATGACTCTCAAAGAGAGTCGAAATATACAATTATTTAATAAATAGCAATTAAGGATTTATTATTATATTTTTTAATGTTTTTTAATTTTTATTGAAATAATAGTGACCTATATCCAGCTAATAAATAAACAATAAAAGCATTTTAAAAGGAAATTTTTAATAGTTGGAAAAGAGTTTCCCAAAAATATTAGTGCAACTCCTTCCTATGCATTATAGTTCAAAGCTTGACAATATTTCATCATCTTTTGTTTATTAGGTGATGGTCGGTCGCAAAGGAAATACTGAGTAGGTCACCAATTATCAATATTTTCGTTTGATATATGCAATTATTTCAAAACTAATCAATGATTTCTCTTTCGATTTTAGATTGTCAATGCTAACTTTCTTTTAAAAGCAGTACAAAATTTTAAACCACTATTTAAGTATAGCAAATTGAAATCATTTCAATACCAGTAATTTCCAGTAATACCAGTAATTTACAAGCATAAATACCAATGTCTAGGATCATCTCACCAGACAGCAGTAAAGAACAGATAAGCTAAAATATTTTTACTATTATCATTTTTTTAACAATATGTGCTAATCTAATTAAGACAAAAATCTTATTTAAACAATACAAATTGTTTTTGTTGGCAAATAATACTACATTATAAAAGCTGTGCTAAAAATTTTTACGATTACTGCGGTTTTGATAATTATTTCCAAAAAAAAGTGTTAAAGGATCATTGGATAAATATTGAAGCCTAATATGATTTTAGTTTAAATTAAATTTTAATGTACCTTAAACCAATATATATACTAATGAATTTGTCCCGAGTAATTGAATAATAGTTGTCGAATTATAAATTTTTCTTATTATCCAATATTTATCCAATTATCTTATATTTATACAATTATCTACTAATTATTCAATTATCCTAAAAATATTTTATTATAATCTTATTATATATTTTGTGATACTAAATATTATATACTTGGTTTGTAAACATCTACATACACATATATTGATCTAATTTTTCGTTAAAGGCGCCTATAAATAATATTTATTTTTTTTATTGCGTTTATAACTTAAAAGGTTTTCAGTGTAAAATTTTTTATTAGTTCTTCAAAAATTCGTAATATTGACGAAAGGTCAATAATTATAAAATATGAATTGTGAATTGACAAAATGATCGATTGATTAGTATTTTTGAGTTAAACAAATCTTTCTATGTTATCTGATTTTAGATCTATTATCTTTTTAAATATTATTATTGCTTTTCTATTGAATTTAAAGTAATTTTAAAGTATTATTTATCTCTAATATTTTTTTGGTGATAAATGAAATGCTATGGCAGTTGTGACAGCACAAATGTAGTATTTAAAGAAGTGCAGAATTTTGGGTGATATTTCCTCACTTCCTATGTGTTTATACAGACTACTTATTTTTGGTTTATTAATATTTGAGTAGTACTGTATTTTAAAATACAAAATTATATTGGCGTTATTTCTTTATTTTACTCTTTTCCCCCCATTGAATTAGAGAGTTATATTTATTTTATTATATATTCGTTTGCATACCATCATTTTTAAGAAGCAAACTTATCTTATACTAATTCCGTTTATATTTATAATTATGAAAAAAAATTGAAAGAAGTGGGAAAGACAGGATTTTTCGACTAAAATCGAAATAGGGAATTATTATTATTTCGTCATTTCGAATTATATCGAAAATTGCGTAAAGTTCGATAACCGGTAGAGTTACATTATGGCAGGATCGCTATTTAAAATTTGGTAAAGTGAAGTTATAGTTTCAATAAAAGATATGTGTGTTTTCGTTGTCAAAATAGGACTAATTTTTATTTATTAATTTTCCTAAATGTCACATTGCTGTTTAATACTAATACTTAAAGTACTTACGTCTATTTGCTTAACCCAAATTTGACGTATATAATATCTTAAATAATAACTTATCAGTGAATGTTGTAATAATTTAGAACGCAAATGTTCCACAGATAGTTTTATTTGGAACTGTTTATTTTATTGACACAGTTCCGTCTAATTGCATATTGCACATTAGGTCAATGTGTGGCTCGGTTGTTGGGTATTAATGCAATGACAAAGTAAAGCCTCGAGTTACTCGAGAATATATAATCGATATTTTATTTAAATAGTTCTGTGTCAATGTTATAATTTTTTGGAACATTTACATGTTGTGTGATATGTGTGGTGTTTGATACCACTGTGTTTTTGGTAATCGGTAATACAATATTATGTCTTATACACGAACATAATATATACCTTACTTTATTAATAACATAAAGTCTTCGGAATCTCACAAGATGTAGAAAATACAAAATGTACTCTCCGGACAGTAGTCATACTGTATATATACTTAACCCTATCATCTCATTTATCTATTGATGTAACATTACCCCACACAATTGAATTCCAAACTAATGTAAATTAAAATTGAATTAATAAAGATAAAGAGACATACTAGTTATGCCCAGATATAACTATCCATATGTTTCATCTTAATTGGATATAAACTATATAAACCTTCCTAAATCAACATTTCACAGTCAATCAATTACTATTTAAATAGATCATTTTCTTTCTAAAAAATGCCTTCAATACTTAATATTAAAATGAAATCCTTCGAAATTATATTGTTTTCAGTCAATTTTTGAATTTTTGAAATTTATATAATACAATTATATATAAAAAGTAGATCAAAGTTCATAATTATGTTTAAAGAAACTTCAAAAATATATACATACATATACACACATATACATATATAAATATATATACATGCACGTATATGCCTACATACACACATATATAACCTAATCCCAAATTAGGTTAGAATTAAACAAATTTAAATTATATAAAATATATAGGCACCATCAGGATTCTAAAATTCTTAAACTATATTGCACGTAAAGGGTGCATTATATGACATAACAAACCCTATTCTATATGATTCGTTTCATTTATGGAGAAAAGATTGGTAATAACTTATTGTTATTGTATCTGCGATGAGATCAATATTCATAATTGTCACAACAATTTTCCAAACTCTAAAAATATCTAACAATTACACAAACTATTTACACAGGCAGATTCTCTAAGATTCACTTTGGTAGAAACCACATTAATATGTATTTAGAATAATACATGTAGAGCAACCACGATTGTAAACTCGTTATTCATTCTATGACCTACAAATGACATGTGTAAACGAAAAATGCATACCTGCTATTTCAGTTCTCATATCATATGGTAAAATACACTAAAATGCACTAAAATTTGGCGTTTAAAATGGCAAGGAATCTTGTGTATTTTGTCATTAATACTGGACTGAACAAAGTAGTTCATATTACTAAATTAAGTTGAATTAATCTATCTCAATTTTAACATTTTAATGTTTAAAATAAACACCAGGTTACCCTTATGAATCCATATAACTTCCCTTTATTGCTCTTAGTTCATGTTTTTAAAAAATTGATCGTTTGAATTATAACTTTATAAAACTGATTTGAAAATAAAACTTCTGTGTGTATTGTACTAAAGGCACTTAGTACGAAATTCCATTAAATTATAATTGCAAATTTGACATTTATATACCCCACCCAATATGATTAAATATAACACCACATTTTTATAAATTAATGTATATTACTTTACAAATTAATCTCATGTTCATATTTTTTTGTTTGCACTACGGTTTTCAGTTGAAGCCATGCATTAGCTGTTTAGCAAGATTTTTAAGGAATTTCCTTCGTTTTGAATCTGGATTGATGCTCTCTGTAGATAATGTAAGAAGCATAACTGTTATTTGTGCCTTTTAAATATAACAGTCATGAATAACTCTTATTTTTCAAAACAGACTATAACTCACACTGGCCTGCTAAATATTTTTAAAAACGAAAATATAAAATACATTTTTCTTATAAGTTATTTTAGTAATTTCATACAAAATGTCGTTAAGGGTGTATTGGCTTTGTAAGAAGGCTTATATTGTGTAAAGTACAACAAACATTTATAATGTTCCCTTCCTTTTCTGGAGTGTAATGCAGCTGCCTAGCACCAAGAAGGCATCTCCATCTGTTTTTCAGCACGCCATTGGTGCGTTTAATAACATTTCGGCACTTGAAGTGAATGCCATTAAAATTCATTTGTTTCGAGCCTTCTTGCGGAGCTCTATAAGGTGTCAGGAGTCATGGCTGTAAGGCATATCCTTGCATCACCTAGTTAAATAAAATGTATTTTTACATTTGTATTTTGACTTCTGTTACATTGAATAAATTTCACCTAATAGCCAGAAGGTTGCCAAACCTCACAAATACTCCTATTCGAAGTAATTTCGCAGATCACTTATGTTCCAAATAAATTTTGGTTACTATTGTACATATTTTTTTTTTTCCTTCAGTTGGGTATAATTTGTATGCTGTAGCTGCTTTATTAGAATTATTGTTTTTGCTGTATTGTGGTGAAATACTTTCGAATTCATATTCGTCGTCATCGTCATCAATTCTCTATGCATCTTCAAGTAATTTGCCCGTCATTAAATTCATAACAATCTTTTCTTCTAAACATTCGTCGTTATAGCCAGTTCCCAATATATTATACCATACACAATTGTCATTTCTTTTACGTTAATGTTACCTTTAACATACGAAATTCCTCCTTTTCTCCTTTGATGAAACCAGTCGTTTGCGATTACGTTGATCACCCGTCCTCATGTTCGAAAACTAGCATATGCGCAAGTCATAATTTTTTATTTTATTCGTATGTTTTTATGCTTTATTTTCCTAACACGCAAACTATTTCCGCTGAGTCCCCAAAATTTGTGGGTTCACTAATATATACAATTCAATAATATATAAATTAATACAAGTTCTTTTATTTGCACAATTATTTGCGCCGTCTCCACTCTGTGTTCATTACGCGGTCAAAGCCTTCTTTTTCGTTTCATTTTTTTTTTTTAATTTGACAGTCATGTCTAGGTGTTGCCAGATCCTACAATAGTTAGAGTAAATTTGAAAGCTTTCACCTGAATCGCGAAATATACTTAAATTTAAAAATTGTAGTGTACTTAAATCTTAGCCGCGGTTCCAAACTATATTTTTCAAAGTAAGTGTAAATTTAAAAGCTTTCTCTTGAAACTCATAATATACAGGGTTAGGTGATAGACTTATTAAATTTTCAATAGTTATCATTAAAATTTATCAATTGAATCTATTAAATCAATTCAGTATAAAGTTACCTATAATTTGGATTTATTATAATTTCCGCCTAGGAGCAGAATATCAAATAAAATAAAATTCTCGCTTAGGAGCAAGATATTTTGCTTTTAGTAATTTTTGCTTAGGAGTAAAATATTGCTGACAGTCAAAAACTAAAGATCGATTTCAATTGATGATTTTATTGAAAATGCATTGGCGGAGTCCCAATGCGACCTTTAGGGCTGTTGTTGGGGGTAGTTCTCATTGCTCCACTTATCATTATGCAGGCTAATCTCTGCAGCTTACGTAGCTTGTCTATCACAGTCTTTTGCTGATCTTTTTTGTACAAGATAGCTGACCCATAAGTAACAATTGTCCTAGCAATAGATGTGTACATCCAGAGGCTGAGTTTAGAATGTAGGCCCCAGTGCTTACCAATGAGGTTTCTGTGGTCCATAATGCCTCTCTGACTCTTCGAATAATGTTGTCTACATGAGAATTCCACGTTAATTTCTTATCCAGAAAGAATCTCCATATAGTAATGGGTTAATAGAAAGTACCCTTTTCCTTTTCTTGATGAAGACAAACAGATGCCTCTCTGACTCTTCGAATAATGTTGTCTACATGAGAATTCCACGTTAATTTCTTAT